CTAACCATTTCAATCGATGTAACTTCACAAACTCGTCGATTGATTTCCTCTACTTACCACGCACTCGTTCGAAGCCTAATCTCAATATTGCTCACCTTATTATGCCACCACCTAACTTGGGAGATAGAACAGAGACACCTATGATAAGAGACAGCCAGTTAGCCTTTTCGTATCCTCCGTTATCATCTGTCACAGAGCAAACTGATGAGCAGTACACACACCCTTTGGTCGACAGCTGGATATCACGTGTACGCTAGAGATGGCGTAATTTGGCATATGCCAAACGAGCCTTCCGTATCCAAAGCATATATGGTTAGGTAAATGTAACTGCATTCAGTCCCATTTTAAATAAGGCATTAAAATTTAAGTGGTACAACTGACGACTGTTGTTGCAAATTTCCTGTACAAATCGTTTTAAATTTTTTTAAATACTGTCTTCGATGATTTTGGTTTCTGATGTGGAGAAGTCAGTAACGAAGATTTTCATGAGTGAAATTAGTTTGTAAACGTTTATGCTAAATTGGTCTCTGACAATGTAATTTCAAAGGTATATAGATAAATTCAGGTACTTCATATCTCCCACTCATATACTGGTCAGAAGAAATGTAACTTATGCAGTCAAGGCTTGAGGTGCCAGTGTTCATGTATTGCATTAATAGGATGTGTTAATAATCTACTTAGTGAAGGATTTCCCGATACGTCGTATCATCTTGCCAAGAAATGTCTGTCACGGATCAACTCCTTTACATGCAAGTAGTATTGTGGTGAGAGCAGGCCGTGAGAAAATATGAGCAAGGCTGATTCAACAACCAATCACAGCAAAGTTAACGTGGCAAAATATGATTCGCAGATAGAGAACTCTATTTGTCGAGGAATCCAGAAACAACCAATCAGAAGCCTGCGTTTGCCTGCCTAACTTCTGATAAACAACCAATCAGATGACTGAGCTTGTCTACTTGCATAAGCTATAATAATGTATGTGAAATATGTATAAATACGTGTTGATTTTCATAATAAAACGATCTGTTGCCTGGCCCTTGTCTTCTGTTGTTACAGTATTAGCTTGTTGACTGCTTAAATTACGTGGATAACACGTTTAAATCACCATTAGTTCTTCATTCATTGGAAAATTAAATCTCAGCTGATATTATGTGTTTGCACTCCTTAAACAGGGAGATTTCCTGGTCCACTGATCACATGTATGGACTTTTCACTAACTCAAGCAGTTATCACTTTCCTTGAGGGTAAATTTAAGCTGAAATCGATCTGGCGAACTGACAGAGAAAGCTGTTTTCAAACGCTTATACATCTTTATACTGAACAAAACCATTATAAATGCCTAAAGACATTATAAGTTTTCTCTATTTAGATGACAAGTCATAAGTAATAGTCAATAGACAAAATTTACTATATCCTAAGGGATCGATTGTCCAGATTAGACGAAATAATTTATTCTATGGAGTGTACAGGGGATGTTAATTCAAATAAATGGGTGATATTAGTCGATCAGTGAGTTAGTTTATCCGAATATATATATATATTGTTCGAAAGCTTGACAGGTTTGATTAGTGGAATATTGTATCTACCCTGAGTCCCCACGTTTTAATAAGCTAGATACACCCCTATTCGCTGCAAATCAATCATGAGCGAATTATACTCGTGATGTATTGCAAGTAACACTTAAACCTAATCACTTAATATTTTTGAACAACATTCTACCTAAAACTAAACTAGACGGTACATTGTTGAATGGTTATCTACGTGCAGCATAGTGTAATAAAATGTGATGACTACATTTATAAAGATAACATGATGAAAAATCATGTTCGTCGTTAGTTAAAAACAAGTGACATGAGGTTCAGGATTAAGTCCCTTGTTTACCGATGCTTATGAGCTAAACATGTTTCAGCCTTGAAATGATTAGAAGTCAGTTTGATTTAAGACAACAGCTGAATGCGTTGTAAGCAAGAGCCTAGTGAAAGAATTAAACATACACAGTCAGTCAACCCACACTTACTGGGATGAAAAAAGTGGAAGAGGTAATTAGCATACATACTGATGCTATCAAGTATTTCAGATAGACCGAAGACGAAGAAGCCCCTCAGTAGTGACACACATTAGGCAAGATTATGAACAATGAACAGGCAATTTAAAAGATTTCCGCTTCTAAAAACGCAAAACTGCAAAATCTTGCTACGTCAACCTAAATGCCGACAGATAATCATAGTGATGTACAATTTGAAAACTTAATTGCCCGAACAAATGATTTAACCTTAATTCCTGAACAGGAACTACAGCGATTCAAATCAACAATAATCGATTGTTGTTATCAGTATCTGAATACAAAACTAAAAGTCTACAACCACATAACAAAGCAGCTTAGAGAAGAATTAAATCAGCCGAGGAACAACAAAGAACTTCTAATAACCCTTCCAGATAAAGGAGCTGGCGTGGTATTTATGGGCAGAGGAGACTACATAGGGAAAATGAACAACATACCGTCAGATATAAATAAATTCTCGCAATCATCCGATGAAAGAAATAAAACAGAACATATTGAAAAACAGCTCACTGATGTCCTTGAAAGAATGAAAACCAAACAGTTAATCAGTTATGAAATTTTCGATAAGATTCGATCAACAAGATCAACAATACCAAGACTATAGGGTTTACCAAAGATACATAAAGCCGGTCTCTCACTGCGTCCAATTTTAGATATGTCAGGTTCCCCGTACCATTCAATAGTGAAATGGTTACCTGACATTTTAGAACCTTTACGAAAACAGGTGTGCCACTATTCGTTTCGTGACACCTTTTAATTCGTAGACTATATACAAGATATCGATGTAACGAACAAAAATATGCTCTCTATTGACATTGAGTCACTATTTACCAGCGTTCCACTCACAGAAACTGCCTGTCGCATTTGTCAATATATAAACGAAAACCAACTGAACATCGGATTACTGACAGCTTGTTTAAAAGAACTACTACTGAGATGTACAATTCCCATTCAACAATGTTATTTACAGACAACAAGATGGGGTCTCAATGCGATCTCCACTAGGCCCATTGCTAGAAGCCTGCTTCATGGCAAACCTTGAGAACGGCCCACTCAAATCAACTACTGATGAATTCCAATTGTATGCTAGATATGTGGACGATATCTTTATTATCTGTGATGATGGTCACGATCTTAATCAGTTACTACGAATATTCAACAACTGCCATTCAGCTACAAAATTTACTCTTGAAATAGAAAACGGACATACGTTATCGAAATTCCTTTTCTTGATGTTGAACTTACAAGGAGAGTTGTAGGAACTTTAAGAAGGTCCATCCATAGGAAAAACACATGGAACGTCGAACTGATAAGCTTCTATAGCTGAGTATCGATCAGTCGTAAAAGAAACCTAATTAGATCTCTTGCCACTTGCGTCCGACGCATCTGCAGCTCCGATAGCCTGTGGGAATAACTACATTTCCTGGAAGAAATCTTCATACAAAACGGATATCCACCAAGATTCACAGACAAAAACACTAAACAGAAACCTAAAAGCAAGTGACGCTTTCCGTGTCAAAACAGATACTTTATCTGAACCTCGACTTCAAAGGTGACCTACTCAGTGATGTCCTTAGGAGGAAAACTTCCACTTTTAGAAGTTCCTTTGCGGCAACAGTGAGTAGTGTCCTCCAGTCGCCCGCTGATCTGCAGAAGCCCAAAGGACAAGATCTCGCACCTGACCACTATGTGTATATATCAGTTCACCTGTTGCTGTGGAGCCAAGTACATCAGTCGTTCGACGCGCATTCTGTCAAAACAGGGTCAAAGAACACTCACCAGTCTGGTTGCAGAAAGGAAGTAGTGGCCATATAAGGAATGCAGTAATCCAACATCTTGTCACCACTGGTCATTCCGTCTCAATAAACGCCTCCTTCAAAGTGATCTACAAAGTGAGGAACAACCTGCAAGAGACAATAAGTTTCCGTCTTCTTTGCATTGTAGAAGCCCTGGCCATTCAGTTAGAAGAACCAGAAGTATGCATGTTATGTATGTATGTTATTTTGTTTCCATGTACACCATGAGCACAACTCTTCCATCAAATGATTCATGTTATTGTGTAACTGTCCTTTAACAATCGTTTGTGACAACTCATTACTTTTGTTACTACCCTCTTATATCAACATCGAATTCCTCTGAACGCCTTTTGTATTACGTAACTCCACCAGAAGCTTACTAAATGTATTTTCGTTTGACAAATTTAATGTACAAACACATACAAAACTACCATATATATTTGCGACTGTACAGCTATGAAAATAAATTCTCTGAACTACTTGGTCTTCTATCTATTAATATTCGAATGGGGATTTTTCATGAATTAAAAAGTAGCGAGGACCCGTCGACAGTCAAGGAACTCAATAGGTTTCTACGGTACTCTGTCAAACTTGCGGTAGCGAACCGAAAATCTGTACGTGATTATTTCACTATACACATACATTAGCATACATCCAACCACAAGTAGTATAACAAAGAAGACAAGGCAAGAAATAAGATAAGTGTATGCATGAGAATGACAAATCAAAACAAAGAAAAAAGTTTCTATGCTTGTTCCTCTGGCCGCTGTAACCACAAAATAGCATTGAAAAACAAGACTTTGAAAAAAAAACCTATAAAAATATATACGTGGTGGAAACAAAAATAAATACTAACAGTAACAGTAGCTAGTTCGTAATAAAGTGAGCTTAGATATTAACTTATTTCCCTTGCTTAACATTGTGCAAGGAACAGATTTGTGCATAAAAAAGAGATCAGTGATACGAGATAACTGTTAACGCACTTGTCATTCTTCATTATCACAGTAAAGTGGGAAGGTACGGTGGGTGGAAGAGAAAAAAACTGAAAACACAGCATTCACCTTGAGGAATAGTAAGTCAATCACAGTAAGTATTTAAAAAAAACGCAATTAAGTAAAATTAGACAAGAAAGAAAACGTCTCTCAGTTTGATTCCGTGATAACTTCCAAACACATCATGATAGCGAAACCAATCAAACCCATAATAGACGACAGACGACCATGCCCCCTGAAAATAAAACAAAAGAAATTAACCAATTATTAATTCAGAGCAGATGAACAGATGCCTAGTAAATACTTTGTGTCCAAGGTTGCAACAAGCATAGAAACATGTACATGAACTTGATTTTCTCCATTACACATAAAATTTTATTTTGATAATTCACACAGTGTTGTACAGTTATATTAACTGACGACCACGTTTCCAGCACAAATTATTGCTCATGATCATATCAAGTTACCCACAAAACTATTTACTTCATTTATATACATGTGTAGAATTGGCTAGTTATTTTAGTAAAAATCAATATGGGATAGTGTATATTCAGAAAAAATAATAATAATATGAGTGTTATCAATCAAGTACAATCAGATGGGAAATAAGACGGGTGTTTTATAGTCATAATAAGTAACTTGTCAAAGTGTTATTATGTGCCTGAATTGAAATAGTATTGAAAGAACAGAAGACAAGGGCCAAGAAACAGATCGTTCATTAAGGATATTAATACGTATTTATAGATTTTCCTGTACATATTATAGATTATTGTTAGCAGAAAAACACAGTCCTCTGATTGGTTGTTTCTCACAGAAAGTTAACCTTGGATCTCTTTGGGGCTGTTTCTTGAATGTCAGATCGTCTATATGTTAACTGCATCCGCCTACGCAAAGCCTTTGTCCTCATTTTTCTCATGACCAATGCTGGGGACATAAACACTGACGTATATTACTGGCCACCAATTTTGGCTAACAGCCTGCTATCACCGCAGTATTTTGAGATTATCTATTATCCTCCTCTGATTCGACTGACTGGTGGTAATAATATCTTCCATGTCTCTGGTATTTCCGTTGAGTCATTTCTGTTGCATGTGTTGGGTGTAGACTCAATGAACCACAAATTTGATGTTTCGTGCAGAAAATGCTACACTTAAGCATTTCGGAATACAACTAAACAAACATCCCACACTTACTGATTCTTTAACAACCACGATGATGATAGCAATGCACTGAACTACTCTTAGCTATGAGGAGATTTGATGTTTTCTGTCTTCTAATGACATGTTTCATAATATTTCAGTTGAAAGATTTTAGGATTCCACCTGAAATTCATTAAAATAATGATAAACCCATTGAACCTTGATCAAATTACTTCCCACCCGTAATGTAATTTCACTGACAGATATTCAGGAAGAGTAATAAACCATGACGTAGCATACTGACCATGTATCTTATTTTGTGTGAATAAAGTTTCTCCTGATAGGAAATTCAATAAGGCGATTTTACACTAGATAGGAAAAATTTCACTAAGGTCTGAAATAAGTTCGTCAATCAAGGTTGTGATTGATTAGCAAAGGTAACCTGGAAAGATATTCGAACATAAGAAACAATCATGAGAAGCCATAATATGGTGGGTAAAACGTAAGTATTGACTTCTGAGAGGCTGAGTCAATCAAGTCTGACATTGAGTTGGAGGATACCTATGAAATACGTCTTTTAATTTATTCCAGCTCACGATATCTTATGTTCGAAATGCAATATCGGTTTTGTATTTTTCCACTAAAACCCTTTTGAAATCAGTTGACTGCCTACTAATCTTTCAACCGAGTTTGTATATTCACTTACTCTTCGGTTGAGGTGTCAGTGATATCGCTGAAATTAATCGCTTATAATGGTCTTCTTCGGTTGTGACTGTTGGTTTTGTACACCATATATTGTGGTGTCGGTGTTTTATCTGTACACAGCATGGAAACTCCATTTCATCATGATCTTACCAAGCTGTTTCCTGAGGATTGTACATCCACCTTGCCAAGTGTACTGGCGCTTCTCCACCCACCAATCCTGCAATTGTGGTCGAATTACCCACGTTGGAAAAAACGATTGCAGGCGTTCCTTAGCATTGCCTCACCAGTCCACCACTTTATTCACATCCTCAATGTACTGTCTGATGACACGTTTGCCTGCCCCAGTGCTGCTGGTTTCAGCAGTACCAACTTACTGAGTGCGAAATGGTTGATTCTCGACCTGAAGCTGGGCTCTGATCATTATCTGCTAAAGCTTGGCCGCCGACAACTGCCGGAGGAAAGCCCCCTGGAACACATGCAACAGAAATGACTCAACGGAAATACCAGGGATATGGAAGATATTGTTAATCCCAGTCAAATCAATGGAGGATAATAAATAATCTCAAAATACTATTTCAATTCAAGCACATCATAACACTCTGACATGTTACTTACTATGACCATAAAAACACTCGTCTTATTACCCATCTGATTATAATTGATCAATAACACTCGTACTATTATTTCGGAATGCCCGTTATCCCATATTGATTTTTATTAAAATATCTAGACAATTCCACACATGTATATAAATGGAGGAAAAAGTTGTGTGAGTGCCTTGATATGATAATGAGTGCAACAGTTTGTGCTCGAAACGTCATCAGTTAATATTACTGTACAACACTGTGTGAATTATCAAAATAAAATTTTATCCATAATGGAGTTATACTCTACCACAGTGCCCACGTTTTATACTTATTTCAATAAATTTGTGCTTATTGCCACCAACTGGGGCAGTAAGGAAACAACAACATACTACCGAATTCCCTAAATCAAATACTTTGAAAGCGTCCAGTGCATCATTCAATTTTCACGCTATGCATTGGTTCAAAAAGACAGTTATTTTTGTATGTACACACATGTTGATGATTTTTTTTTATATATTTTTGCCGCAACAATTATGTGAGAAGTAATCAACAATAACAACACGTTGGTATAAAAAAGATTGGAGAGAACAATTTTGTTTCAAAATCACTGAAAGAAATGTGGAAAAAAAAACTTTCTTTTCAGTCTTTGTGGAAATAAAATTATCTTTTGTGTTTCATGTATATTTGAGTGAGTGTGAGTAAGTGTATGCTTTAGTGTGTATGCCGGCAGCAATTAGAAAGTAAGCATTTAACTCAAACACTCGTATAAAACATTCGTATTTCCCATATAATTGTAATGGGTCAATAACACTCGTACTATTATTTCTGAATGAACATTATCTCATATTGATTTTTTAATCCAATATCTAGTCAATTCCACACATGTATATAAATGAAAGAAAAAAAGTTGTGTGAGTAACTTGATATGATTATGAGCAATAGTTTGTGCTCGAAACGTCATCAGTTAATATTACTGTATAATTCTGTTTGGTTTATCAAAATAAAACCTTATCCGTAATTGAGTTATACTCTACCACAGTGCTCAAGGTTTATACTTATAACCTGGTTTTCACTTTAAAGGTTATGTCTTACAATTTATTTGTTTAGTAGTCTAACTATCGATTCGGGCTAATAGGTTATCGTTGGACGTCTAAAACAACAATTCACTGCTGAAAAGAATAAATTTCAGTCATCTAAAGAGTAATAACTACTAGAAGAATAGTTGAGACAAATACTACTTGCCCAAATTTCACAGGTGTCGGTTTGAGCAACAGATAGAAGAATGAGTAAGAGATAGGCTTAAACAAATATTCCCAGACTGGGGTATGTGATAAGTAAATCCGAAAGATTTCTGTGCATTGACTTCCCTTCTTTAAATACTATCAGCTTTCAACACGTGTAGTTTACATAATACTGTTACATAACTACATTCGATACATCTAAAACGCGTATATGGTACGAGTAATCACTGTATTGCGAAAGACTCACACGGGAACGAAAAATAAAGAATATGTAATAATATGGTTTGTGCTACTGACAAGATTTATAAGTGATATGACGATACAGATATAAATATGTATATATCATCTGCAAGAATATTGAATAGCGGAGAGATGGATTGAATGGCGTATAGATGATATGAACGACTCTTGTGAAAGAACATTGAAAACACACAGGGAAGGTAAAGAAGCTCAATACGAAAGACATTTACAGATTGGGATTTTAATATGTGGTAAATAAAATTTGGTTATATGGTTACATCGAGTTGCCAATAAATAATCTCGTTATGAAATGCTCTAGTGCTCTGCCGTTACAATAATACTACAATGGGAAAGACAACATTTTTGATAACTATCGACATTTGTATATAACTATCACAAACAGTGAGTAGAAGTGAGGATAAAGATGAGTGGTTAATGAGATAAAAAAAACTGAAATTAATGAAGATTTCCTTTGAGATCGATAAACGGGGAAAAATGGTAACAGAGTTTTTTGGTAAATAATTTAAATGATTTTAAGTTGATAAAAGTTAAAAAGTATTGAGACAAAGGACAACTTTTATGCTTGACTAGTAATTACAATTAAGAAAATTTACGAACATGAGCATCGAAAACTGCTATTGTAAAGACAGGACCTAAAAGAATTGATAACGAACTTGTTCATTAAGGGCAAAAACACATGTACACTTTTAACTACATTAGAAATTGGCTAGGTCAGCATACAACAAACTATTGTGATTGGTTGGTGATTTGTCCAAGGATAAACAACGGGACGAAAAGTTACCCAATGAGATTATTTCACGTCCACAAAGTGAAGTAAGTCCGAAATTGAGGGATAAACACTTCTAACTCCTGCAGCCATTGACTTAAAATATTGATTACAAGTCTAGTCACTTCATATCAATGCGTATCTACATACTACTGAAAAATCTTGTCAGTAGCAATACCACAGTATGTCAGGTAAACTTTTCACACTAAATTTACCCCACTAGATAAAACCAGTATTTTATCGATAAAAAAGCTGTTTGCTGTGGTCGCATCAAATGACACAACACTAAGATAATGAAAATACCAACAATGAATAGAAAAATACGTGCAACCACCTAGGTATCCTCATACAAAGATGGGACATGCTTGAAACAAAACAAGCACTGAAAGGTGCCGAAAATAAGGAAAAAAGAGTATATTCATTGATTTTCATTCAGCGTCTAATTGAAAGTTGAGGATTAAGATAGCAATTCATGGTAATAAAGAGGATGAAACAAACCGATGTAGCCCACAACAGTTTAATTGTTTCTCATGAAC